GGGGGGGGCCTCGGCCGGGGCCTCGGGGCGGGAGAACGGACGGAATTCCTGTTACCCCTCCTGTCGGGAGCATTCATGAGTCAGGGAGTGCATGGGAAAGTACCACTTTAAATTCCAGTTTACCAAACTCTCTGAAAGACCAGAAGCGGTGGAGTGCACTGAGTGATTCGGTGCCCCAGAAATCACCGAATCACAGAACGGGTCAGGCTGGAAGGGAGCGCAGCGGGTCACCTGGTCCAACCTCCCTGATCAGGCAGGGTCATCCCAGAGCACGTGCCACGGGACTGCATCCAGATGGTTCTTGAGTAGCTCCAGTGAAGGAGACTCCACAGCCTCTCTGGGCAATCTGTTCAGTGCACGGTCACCCACGCAGTAAAGAAGTTATTCCCTATATTCAGGTGGAATTTCCTGTTCATCGGTTGCTACCTGTTGCCTTGTGTCATTGTGGTTGACACCACTGAGAAGAGCCTGGCTCCATCTTCTTGGCACCCCACCTTCAGATATTTATAGACACTGATGAGATTCCCCTCTCAGTTGTCTCTTCTCAAGGTTGAACAGGCCCTTCCTGTTTCCGCCTTTTCTGGTGATGTGTCATTTTCTCAGCCGCATGGAGTAACTGGATGCCAGTGGTGTAGTGCCTGAGCTCGCCCGGGGTGTTGCTACACATGGCAGTGACTGTGCTGGGTGATTGTCCTGGCTGCCATCAACTTGTGCTCTGTGAACTATCTTGGTTGTGTTGGGAGTTGTGGGAATGTGGGATGTTCCCACACATTCCAGAGTTGAGGGCAGTCATGGCTCCAGTGCAGCAGCATTAGCACACTGGACTGGTACATTGTTCAGTTTAAATCACACTGCCTGTCACAAGGTGAGTTTCCAGTGTGTCTCTTGGCTGCCATGAATGTGGGGGATAAATTGACTGCCCCGGCCCACAGCCTGTCAGAGGTGAGGGAAGTCACAGCTCCAATGCAGCAGCGGCAGCAAACTGGACTGGTACATGGATCAATTGAACTCACACTGCTGATACACTCCCATCATTGTCTCTGAGGCATACACCTGACTTGATTATAAATTTCATGGCAGGAAACGAGAGTTACTCCTCACAGACCCTCATGGATACAACAGGTGGAAATATGCCAGTTGTCAGTAATCAATTCCTCAGTGACACAGTGATAGATTACAGCCTTCAGAGACAGAGTATTTGTAGGTTTTATTTGGGCATGTTTTGCATACCTATTAATAATGTACATTGTTGATTAATGTCTAAATTATTGTCCTAAACCACAATGTAGGATCTTATTTCCTATATCCTAGGGGTAGTATATTGCATAAACAGTCTGAGCTGCTGGTGGTGAAGCACACCACAGCAGGCTTTGTCAAAATCTGACTAATTGACTGTGCTGTTCATTAACAGCATAATGAGTATCCTCTTACTTATTCTGAAGCTTGGTGAAGTTATTCAAAGCAAGCATGTGACTGCTATAGTCAGGAGTTACATTTGCTACCTGACCAATGAATATTCAGCCTGTGACCTCTGCTATTACTTAACCACATGTCAGATCCCAGGCTGTCTTAAAATGTTAAGGAGTCATCACTATTACTGTTTCTTATGCAGAACATACATGTAAAATAACATACAATTTGCTGCTTCTTGGATACAGAAGATGGCAGTATTGTGCATTTTACAACTGTTGAACCATTGACACCCACGAAAATTTTGAAAAAAGCAACCAAATGTTTTCCATAACCTTATTTCATTAGGAAATTACAACTATAACTTTTCATCCTCCTTTCAACGGAGTAAATGCCATAATATTAACCTTCCCTTAAACTATGTATAGGTCAAAATTGAGAAATTCAATAATTCCTTTGATTGGTGCGCTACATTTCATCATGGCATTTTCCCAATGTGCTCGGGGAAGGCACCATCTTAAGCTTATATATTTCAATAGTGAAGAATAGGATCTCTTTTTAAGAAAACACAAAACAGCTATTACAAATATCCATAATGATTCTGGAAAAAGCTATCATCCTCTTCAAAACAGGAATACAATATAATTACATTTGTTTCCATTTTGTTTATTACTAATTTATACATATACAGCAGCTTTATATTCAAGTCCAGGCACAGACTTTCATACAATTTAATTGATACTGTGTAAGAAAGAAAAACATATGACCATCCAGGCAAGAGCCACTCACATATCCAATGTAATGTAGCATTCCTGTCCGTAGCTGTTAGTCCTTGCACTGGAATTACAGACCACAGCCCTTTACAAACATAGTTTATTTTGGTGGACACCTTCAAGAAGTTTGTGGAACTTATTTTTCCGTATTTCCTAAACAAAAATACGCTTGCATGGTACAGTGTCATGTGAACCTCATCATGTCAAGGTCAGTAGTGGATGCACAGATTATACTTCGTGGAATAGCTCAGAGCAGAGAAACTTTTATCTTATAACTTGTAAGTTACTTACCACATTGCATTATAAATCTCTGTATGTGTTTTTTAAGATTTGTGCACCGAACTCTACACGTGCAGTAGAGCAGATCTGAGTAAGAGTGCAGAGGCTCCATCTGGCACCCATTTGCACTTCCTTTCCATGTGCTTCTTTTGGTTTCCATTTCATGTATTTCCATCATTGTGGACTGACATAAGCAGATAAGAAGTGTTCGCTCTGTTGTTTGCCCAAGCCCTGTGTGGAAAAAGGAAAGATACATTTTATAAGCATATAGATTATGTAAAAGTTGTCCTTGCCTTACATAATATTTGCTGTATGCTTCAGGAGAAGAGTGGTACTTTCCTCATGGAATTGTACATCTCTTTTTTTTTCTAGCTGAAGAAAATGAACATAAGGGAACATGTGGAATATGGCAGTCAATCATTAGTATGGATTTGTCTGACTCAGAAAATACATGTTAACTAAGAAACATCCAGGAAGTGTGGGTTTGGGATGCGACAGTTTTCATTGACACTTCAGAGCTGTAGGTTGTACTATAAACGCAACAGTGAAGTGGCAGCACCACCCTTCCCTGCCCCCTCTGTTTGCTCACTCTCAGTGCCAGCCCCACTGTAGGCCATTCTGGGTGCTTTCCACTGCCAAGTGCCCTTTCCAAGGTGATACATGTGAATGCTGGAGAGCACGTCCTTCCCCCCTGCTGCTAATGCGAGCACGACTGTCTCAAGGGGTAAACAATTTCTCACATATTGTCTGCTTCTGTGAGCACTCATAAAAACTCTGTGACAACTTTTGCACTGTTACAGTGATGACAGTGGTGGCAGTCCTCCTTCAACACCCTGTTCCCCTAAAACCTTCTGGAAAAACTCACATTTAATGAGACTTTGGCTGGACCTTTATCAGCCAGCCTGGTCTATCAGATGATACTGAGATTTGCTTAGATCCCAATCTCATCAGTTTCTGCAGCCTGCAGAAGACATACAGTGTTTGTCATTTCCATTGCCCCTGGCGAACTGCACAGTGCTCTGCACAACTGGGTCTGCAGTTCTCCAGGTATATTTCCATGAGTGACTAATGCTGACAGTCACACATTGACTCCTGCCTCATAAGAGTTGAACAAAACTATTTAAGACTAAAGATTAACTTCCTCAGAGTTTGAAACTGTTAATTTGTTAAATTTGAAAACTGAGGTTAAGTTTGGCCATAGCTGTTAATTAACTTATAGGATAGCTATCAATATTTTACTTGCCTGGGATTTTCCATTTCAAAGACATTGAAAGGAGCAGAAAAAGTACTTTGCTAATCACATGGAGAAGATGGAAGGGGTCTGTTTGCTTGCTTTACCGAGTCACATGCTTGAAATTTCAGTCCTCTCCTGATTTGTTTGGTAGTTAGGTATATATACTACTAAATATATATGTACAGATAATAGATGAACTTCTGGAGGCCACAAGTGCTGAAAAAAATTATAGAGATACTCTTATTTTCAACCAGGCAGACAAATACATTTAGCGCAACAAGGGCAATAGTTCTTTGCACTAGTTCAGTGATGTTTCTGGAATGCAAATTGTGCATGAAATTCTTCATGGCTATGACCTGTAGCTCAACAGTAGTTAGGAGAAACAAAGGTACTATAAAAGAGGAACTACTTAAAGATCTAGTACCTCACAAAGTAGAGAGTTGAAAACATACATTGCATATGTGCATGTAGATTATTTGTTCAAGCAAACTGATGCCTGATGGATTAATCAGTGGCAAACAAATGCAGACATGCTTTAACAGTGCTCTATATCTGGCCAAAATGGGAGCAGAGAGGCTGGGCAGAAGGTTATCCATGCAGATACATTTATTACAGAGATACAAAATGTCTGTCTTTTTAGATTATGCGGATATACTCCATTTGTAACCTGAAAAGTTACAGTGCTTTTTAAGACAGTACTTAAAAATACCATTTCCACGTGAAGAAAAGTTATTTTCTTACTAACACCTTGCATGTCCACCTGTCTTATTTAAAAAACATGCTGGCTTTCAAAAACAATTTACAGATGTGCAGCAATCAGTTGCTTATGTGCAGTGCTCTGTGCATATACAGCTGGATAAGCACAGGGCCCTTCAGCTGGATGCATTGGGCACACATCCAAGTTGCTGTGCACATATATATCAACTGCACGATGTGCACCCTGTGAGCTCTGAGCTAGGGTGTTTATCACACTGCTGCTTCCCCTGGCCTCCTCCCCTCTCTGCTGGAAAAAATCATTTGTCTTGCTTCTTGCCAGCAAGATAAATTGGGGAAAATCAGCCATCCGGGCTGGAAGTCAGCAGCCCTGATCAGGGAATCCAGTCATGTCCTCTGAGTTGTTCCTGCTGGGTGTTGTGTGCATTCGATGTACTTTGACACCGGCTCCATGTGATTCTGAGGGAAAGAACTGATTTATGGTGTTTTACAGGGGGGAAAAGAGGTGATGCTGTGTATTGACACTCAGTTCCATTTGCTTTCTGGCAGCAGGGAAAGAGTACTTGGCATTTCCCTTCTCTTCCCAAGTTCTTCAGTGTTTTCCCCAAAGGTGCAAAAAAGTTTTCATGCTCATTATTGAAGCAATGCAAATGAATTTACCATGAAACTGATTGCATTCACATTCTTTTAAGTTTTTTTAAGTTACAAATGTTACAGGATAGACTTTCATACATCTGTACATTTTTCAGTGCTCTCCTTTTGATGTTTGTACATACAGCATGTTAATTTAAGGTGTCATTAGAAATTAATGCATCACTTTTTTGTTTTCATAAGCATAGATTGAACATCTAAGTAGAT